AGCGGCGTGTTGTGCAATCTGGTGTCAATTCAACGTTTCAAGGCCAGTCAGGCAGCAAGAAGCGTGCAAGGACCCTTCAATGGCCTGGCCGTGGACCTTGGGGTGGCGCAGTTGGTAAGCTTCGGTGGGCCAGTTTCTCCACTTGCGCAATTTGAACCACTCACGCTCAAGTGAAGGAGCAGAAACAACAAACAAGGAGACAAACAGGCCTACAGACAGAACACAACCACAGACTCACAGGCAGACATGGGCAGACACAGGCAGACACAGGCACGGGCAGACACAGACATGGACAGACACAGACACAGACACAGACACAGACACAGACACAGACACAGACACCACTTTAATATTCTGCCATTATGTTTTCATCACTTACACTGGCCGGAAGAATCAAAAATGGACAATTCCAAATTTAATAATCAATATAAATGAGTCCTCTGTTCCTGCTGAACCTTGAGTTTTGACATTTACCTCCTCTACAGGGTCTCCGGTTTCAGGAAGCCCTTCTTCTTCTCCCTATTATTCACAGGGAATCTTCATTACTTTTACCAAATCCATTATGTGTCTTATCTGGCTTTGCTGAAAATTCTATATACGCCTTTGTTTCACCCATAGTTTTACTAAAACTATGGGATGGATTTGAGGCACTCCATCTCCGGAGAATATCAAGCAGAATCATGGTTTCTTCAGCGCTATTTTAGACCCCAATGGCGTTGGATGAGACAAATATATTCTTCTTTCATGTCATCTTCCATTTTGCTACCTTCCATCCACTTGGCCCCATACCTCCACCCGACTTATTTGTCGGCTTCAAAGATGACCTTCTGCACTTTCATCTTGTCAAACATGTCGTATCCCTCCTCCGCTTGGCTTAATGGCATGATCGTATCTGCCATGAATCTGGACAAATTGGTGGTGTTAGATTTACCCTTCCTCTGAACAGCTAAGTTGGGAAAACAGAGAGGAGGGAAGGACAAATGGAGAATTTTCCTACCCTAGCAAATGCTGCGTCTTCTTAAGCATTTCAAGCGCCTGCGGGAAAATAGAACGTATGGGACACCGTCCCATCTGGATTTTCAGGTTTTTCCCATACGCCTGGTTGCCCGTCCAAGGTATCTATTTGCGTCCAATGTCAGATCAATTTTCCCAAATGATATCATATCATCTTCCACAAAGATAATACAGAGATATACTCGGGTGCCAGCTTACCCCTCCATTATGAACACCCACACTGCTAATGATTCCCCAAGGTCTGAGAAGCTCAAATCCCATCTTCAACGCAGGACTCAATCCAACAACTTCAATCACCACATCTGCACCCCTACCGCTCGTCAACTCCTTAACACGCCTATCCAACCCCTCCCGGTCCGTTTGGAAATTCCACGGTTCCGCGCCCAGCGAGTTGGCAAGCTCGAGCCGTGAGAGAACCGAGTCAACAGCCAGAAGGTTTTTCGGTTTGTACTCTGCGGCGTTTACGAGTGCGCAGAGACCCACCGGCCCACAGCCAATCACCACCACTGTCATCTCTGATAGCTGCTCCTTGGTGAATTGACTGAGGCCGTTGCTGGCTGCGAAATATCCCGTAGGGAAGATGTCGGCCATGAGGACGAGCGCTTTTTCGCTGATACCCTCTGGTGCTTTGAAGACGGTTCCATCGGCGTTAGGGATGCGCACCTAGTTTCCAGATGGGCATTGGTGGCAGACATCCTCGAGTTAATCAACGTGGCCTAACTTTGCAGTGGGTTCCCTTCATTTGGTGTCCTTCTTTGACTGAACAGCGGAGAAAACTTACATATTCCGCCTGAGCGCCATCCAGCATGGCACAGCCAAGTAGCAAGGATTTCTCACAGCGAGATGAAAAGCTATTCTTGCAGTAGAAACATTCTGAGCTGTTTCATTTTTATCTGATTACCAATCAGTAACCCAGCTTCGTTAACATTCTGCCCCGCAATTCTCGCGTCCATGTTGTGTGTCGGTAATTTTTTTAACGACAAAGTGGCCACGTACCAGCTTGTCGTAAACGGGCAGACGATCTTATCCCCAGGCTTCAGAGTCTTCACAGAGCTCCCGATTTCCGCTATTTCACCGGTAAACTCGTGGCCCATGATGAAGCCAGTGCCAGATGGCTGGTGGCCACGGAAAACATGGAGTTCACTAGATTAATACCGGAACATTAGCCGGTTTGATATCCGATGATATGTTTGAATGTTTCTCAGTCAACAAAGTATACACGAAGCATATAGCACAATCAAAACTGCTAACTAACTGGGGAGAACTACGTAGGGTCAAAAGCCTACTCGCAGCAACCATCGACACGGACGAGATGGATCAACCGTAAAAAGAGGGACGAAAACAACGAGCACATATAACATAAAACCCACAGGATGATATGAATACATACCTTCCGCAAAGCGCCGTATACCTGACCTTGACAATGATATCTGTCGGCCCCTGGATCTTGGGAACAGGGCGCTCTTCCACGACAATCTTATGAGGGCCCTTGAAGACTACTGCGCGCATGTTTTCTTTCATAACCATTGCGTATCTGTTATGGTAGATGGATGTATAACAGGAGACTGTATGATATCAACAGAGGAGTGCTAGGAGTGGTCTATTCTGCAGTTCCTCTTCTTTTGTTACAATCGCTCCATTGCAGGTGGGAGAGCGCGTCCCTTATCCGGGTAAGAAATGTACCTCGGACTAACTAGTAACTAACTAACTAGGTTAGCTAGTTAACTAGTTAACAACACCCACGTGACCTTCAATATTTGTCAAGGTAAGCATATTACTCCAACACATGGCACCCCCGATCTCGTGCTCGACGTCTGCATCCATACCTCGCCATCCACTCTCCTTGCTCTCCTTAGTTTGTCTCTGGAACACTCATTATGCAATTCACCATTCCATCAAGTCGTGCAGGAGTAACAGCACCATTCGTCTTATCAAGAACCATGTCGTCTCTTACCTCTGGACAGGGTTCTTACGGGAGCAAAATGGAACTATCGGCTCATCGATGCTCTTGAGGGAGATGGCACGCACAAATCTGTAGCTTTCAAAGCCAAAAGCCTTACCAAAATATGGTGTCCGTGATGCTCCTCAATGGTTCGCTATGTTTGCATGGAGTGTCTGCAAACTCCAAGGCTAACCCTTCTAACCAGGGCTTTCGTCAAAACAGCTGCGCCAAATGATCAACATGCTAAAGAGAACCTGAAACGCGAATGCGAGAACTACCTCCTTATCGCATTGGGCGCGTGCTTCCGGAAGATGTGTGACGCGATCGGCGATCCCACGAATATCAGCAACAGTGATGGTGGCGGCATATCGTATGCCGCTTTCGAATGGCTGGAGACCACACTGGCTGACGTGGAACACCGGCCTGGCAAGCGTAAATACACTATGTCTTAGGCCATTATAAAAGACAGTTTTGAGAAGCTGTACCATTTTGGCGAATGAAGAACTTGTCAATACAGGCAGGAACACCTGGTTTTCAAGGGATGGCATCCGCTAATGAGATCAGATTACAAGGCCGCCAATCCGCCAACATATTGCTCTCTGACATTGACACTAATGATATACCATGAAAGTGGTAGACTTGGGACTCGGTGAATAGGCGTAGATTGGCCGGAAACATGTCTATGCTGACATGTCTGCAGTATTTCAGTCCGGTTCTCGTTGCTCAGCCCAACCATACGCCATGCGCGCCCCTGAACTCTGGCAAGGCCAGCCCTGCACCCAACCCTCGCAGGTTTGGGCACTCGCCGCAATGTTGCTCTGCTGGATGAAGCCCGGGATTTTGGGTACCGGGGGCTGTCCAACACCCATGATTCGTGAGTCATGGTGCATCGCGAAACTCATGCGGCTCTTTCCTAGTTGGACCGTTCCGCCTCTTGATAATGATGTCCGCCAATGCGAATTTTCAATCTTGCCAAAGCTCTCATCGACGATCCTCCACCAGCGCTGGAACAGATTTCTGTTCTGGAGGATGAGTTGCGAAATTGTGCATATGCCGATAGAGTTGATGAACCTGCTTCATTTCATGTTGATTGTCAACCCGGATGAAAGGCCATCTGCTATCCATGTGTTGGCATCGAACGAGTTTCTGGCTCTGGAGAAAGCCGTTGTAAGCACAAAGTAGAGAGCTGAGACTCCTTCCCGGTATAAAAAACTCAATAGACAAACAGTATGTTCCTGTGTCCTGCTGCACATTATCCTTTCTCTTTTCTCCTACCTTTGTTGACACGACGTTGAAGAGAACAATACCTACATAAATCAGGCTCAAGGGAACCCCAGATCTTCTCTGGGCTGAGCCTCGCCACTGGAACTTGGAAGCTTTTTAGAGGATTTGGACGCTACGTCAGAGTCTGATGAAACTGAGTTTCATGGGACTTCCATGGAGATTCAAAGATACAGATTGACACAAGCAATGGAGGCTCTAATAGTAGTTTCAATACTTCTTATCAACGATCTTGTCAAGAACAGCAAATGAGGAGCAATAATGAGTGACAACAGCTGAGGCCTGAACGCAGCAAAATGATATCGCACACACTATCCTTGCTCCTCCGACATCACTTCTAAGCCTACTCCGCCTTGAGTACTATAACTCGATATCGCGAAACAGGGGCCTAATTGGTTCTCTGTTCGCAGGAATCAGCATTGCAATCACACAAAAGGATGCGGGATGTCTGCTCAACGGTCTGCTTGGTTTCATCCTCCTGAACGTGTCCGCCCTTAACCTTGGAGCCACCAGCATCTTTCTCCCTGCACAGAGTAGTGGGCGTTTAGGGTCACCGTCACTCCCATGAGACGTGTTGCTGTTTGGAGTTAGCCGGCCATACAGGAAGAGCTTGAAGTAATGCTTATGAGATGGTGATCTGATCCATGGCGTTTATGTTGTCGTCCGTGAAGAGCTTGCCTCCCTCAAAGGCCGCTTTGGTCTCTGAAAGAGCAAGATTCCTCCTCACTTGCGTATCGGTGGCCCCAGTGAGGCGCTTGAAGCCGGAGCCAGACTCGGTGATGTAGAAGGGGATGCTCTTAGAAAGAGCTTTGTTGAAGACATAGTCGAGAAGTGATCCAGGCATGTTGACTGATATCAAGGTCGAATTGGCACAGAAGATTTTGCAAAACGTCGAAAATAGTAGATGAATGAGAGATTGAGTGGACGAGATAGATTGCTGGAGACTATAAGCACATGAAGGCCCTTTTTGTAGCAGCGTGTACCCGTCCGTTAAGCAGCGCTGATACGTCACCTGCGGCAGAAGCGCATCTGGAGATGGCAACGGCAAACGGCCGCCACTTAAGTCCTGTCGTGCCCGATCCGGTCTGGTCCGGTTCTATGCCGATCGCAGCCAAATTGAGCAGAACAAGCTAGTATCTGCAACTTGGCCAATCAACACAACTACTGACATCCTACGTGATGCGGGGTGTCCTGTCTGGTAGAGTCCGCTCAGCAGCGCAAGTTTCACATTGATTCGCTCTCAATTTTGCACTGACTGAAGCAAGTCCTGCTGCATATTGGATGGTCCTTACACGTGCGGCTTCTTGTCTCCAATTTTGGTATAGAGCGTGATCTTGGCCATGGAGATATTTGGCCGGGACAGGGCTCCGATGATATGGATCTTGTCTCCAGAGGATGTTGTATTTGGGCTGCTTCTGTTGCAAATATATTGGTGTTGGAAGGCCCAGAAAGAGGTTTATCATCTGACCAGTGACAGAATCAGGTCACCACTCCTCTGCTAGAGTTTTTATGCTTGAAGTATTCCAAAATGAATATCATATACATAGGAGTTCAGTGTTGGCTGGACAGATTCTCATCACTCAAATTTACAATTCAGATAAATGCATGGCCTTCCATTACATATTCTCTATTCTCAAATTAGTCAGATATACTGGCAAGACAAGTATACAAGACAACAATGACACAAGAGTTATTTACTGACTTTCATCTACTGAATCTATATTTAGCAACAGCCACAGTTTTTTCTGACATGATGATTTTCTAGAGGACTGTGCTCACTTTCTCATCTGAAAGACTCTTCTTGCAAGTCTGATATTCAACCTCTTCTTGTTTCACTTGAGCTGATTCAGATGAACCTTCACAATGTCATTCTTCAACTGTCATATGAGTGCTCACAGAAGAAATTCAAGATGTCCTTCCCTAGTCTCAATGATGTAGCAGGATAATGGGCGCTGCTTGTGTCTGGCTCGAGATGGTGTGTGAAAGAGTCACTGACTGTGGCATGGGTATCCTTCAAGTGTCTGTCCTCAGAGATGTTATCTGGCAGAGCCCTGGAGGACAGACTGTGATGGTGATGATTCAACCTTCTCCTTGTCAACTGCCAGTGCAGTCAAGACATCCTGTATTCATTAATATAAGCCCTCTACAGGCCCACAGTATCAGGTAAACTTAATTTCACTGGCATTAACCACCTTTGGTTCTTCTGGCTCTGGTTCTGGCTGGGCAGATCCTGTTGGGCGTGACCCTGACTGTGGCTGTGTCGGTGACTTCCCTTCCAGGTCTTGGATTGACATTGCCTCACTGTTCCTTCTCTCACCAGTTTCACTATTGCACTCACACTCAGTGTCATCTCTGAGATGTGATGCTTCTCAATCTTCACTGAGAGGTTCTGTGTCACGTTTTTCATCTGTTCTATCATCCAGATCAATCGGGTTGTCCAGTGACAATCCAGGTTTCTGTCAGCTGAGTGAGGAAGGTGCAGGCGGACAAATCATGACCGAAGTTGGTCCATAGTCAGGGGGGACTTGATTTAGGTGACCTCTGGGGATCATAGAAGCTCACTGTGAAGGATTCTTGTTCAAATACTGATCAGATTTTGAACTGACAACTCAGAGCTGTTGTAGCTAGTTACCTGGAATCTCACATGTCACAGCATGTTCTGGCAGAGAGTGTGTCATTGTCAGTGAAGAGTGGGAATTGCTGCTTGCAATGATGGGATATGAGGTGTGCTTGCTGTGCTCATAGTGCTCTGATATTTGTTGTAGTGACAATTTTGGTCAGGGCAGGTGGCATCTTTCATGTTTATGATGACCTTTTCCTCCTTTCCTTCTGGACCGGATGAAGGAACCTTCTGCCGGAAGTCCAGAAGGCGATTAAAATCATGGAAAAGCCAGCGAAGTGTGCGGGAGGGGAGAAGTTATTTGGTAACTTCCATTTGGGACCATAACAGGTTTTGTTTCTGAACACCATCTACAACCTCTCAACCTCATATTTTAGAGACAGTTGATAGCTTAGATATTATTATAATGCCTCAGAATATATAATAGCTTCATCAGAATTTGGAAATGTATGTATTTCATCTGCTGTGGCTTTAAAAATCGAATAAGAAGTGGACTGAGAAGCGAGAGAGCTTCACATCGCCCAAGAACAGCAGGAAATATGAGGAGTTATGGGATCTCCAAAAAGATTGATCAAAAAGTAAAATAAAAGTGGACTGGTTTGGTAGATGAGAAATTACTCATGGAAGGAAGATAAATGCCTGTTTGTCTCATGGATACATATCCTAGGGGGGAGATTGTGTTCTGCTCGTATCGAAAGAAACAAGACATTTAATTTCTTGCATGTTAAAAGAGACAGAGAATTGGAATGAAATCCAAAAATTCAAAAAAAGGGGGGAAAGGGAAGAAAAGGTAACTGGGATATTCGTGAGCAAACTCCAAAAAGAAACTAATGATAGTAAAAAAGTTGAAAAATTAAAGGGATGGAACGAATCAGTTAAGAGAAATACCCTTTCCCTCTTTTCTTGAATGCTTTCCTGCTGTCAAACGTTAAGAACTTATGCAAGAGGTCAAAGAAGAAGAACAAAAATAACATATATATCTGCGCCAAAGCTAAAGAGTAAAAGCGGTTTAGGGCCAAATCTTTCATTTGTCGAGTAATCAAGACTCGAATGCCGCAGTTCACCTTCCCACGTTTGGAAGAAATTCCCCAAATCCAGACCGATTGACGCCGTTGCATGGATTCTAAAAGTGGATGAACAATACAGAGAGATGAAAAAAAAAAAAAGAAATGAAGATCCAATAACCCGTTTGCCACCATATGTTGTGATGCTGTGTTCAGGTGCAATCGTGAATTCAGGGCTTGGTTTGAGAACATACAAGCGGCACCGACTCCGTACCGCCATGCTGTCAAAGCCGGTTGGTGCTCGGGAATTAGAAAAAGAAAGAAAAAGAAGAAAAGAAAAGAAAAGAAAAGAAAAGGTAAACCGGGAGTCTCCTGCAAGCTTTCCAAGGTTGCTAGTACACCATACAGAGCAGCTCAGCTTCTAGGATGAATTTCCCTTCCTTGTATTTCTCGGTTGTCTCGTAAGCCTTGTCGTATTTCCAGCCAACTGTCTCTTTGCACTGCCGGCACATAATGTCTCGAACGACATGTCGACCAGTCGTCATGTTCCGCTCCACGGCTTCGGCTTGGTTTATGTTGACAACTTTACTGAAGAGGTAGGCTTTGCCATGTTGGCCCCGAAAATTCTGTTTGGGAAGTATCAGGATAGTTAGTTATGAGATGTCACAAGATTAGAGCAGGGGCAATCAATGATCAGATCTCACGAAGCACATAAACAACAGGGCGAACAAAGAACGGGATACTAACTCGACTTATGATATCGTGATAATCAGCTAAGTGCGTTTTGCAAGTCTTGCATCCAAAAATTTTGTTGGAGGAGAGGTAGATATTGTACGTAAGACCCATTGCGTAAAAAGAACTCTAGCCACTGTCGTCTGCCTGCAACAACCAGTATTACGGTCCACGTCAGTTGGTAGAGAAAGGAAGCCTGGAAAGGGTTCTGGATAATGGTCTTAGTCTTCGAGGAGCCTAGTCTGTAAGATTGATAGCAGTAGAAGATGCAGCCTGCAGTTCAAGCGGCTTCAAGCGAGAAAAGTGAAGATTTCAGATTAAAAAGAATAAGTCCAGCTTTTTCTTTCCTTGACAGAGGAGATCGCGTGTTTTGTAGTAGTATAGAAGAGCAGGGGAACGGTGGAGCTCTGGGAAAATAACGATCTCGTCACACCACAGATGTTTCGTCACAGGTGTTCGCCCCAGCAGCCGTTCGGCGTGTGTTCCCCACTGAAGGAAAATGCTCTCGGCTACTATCACCCAGAGTTTAGAATCAGGGAGCACTGCCTGTCCGTGTCTTGTTTTAGCCGCGAGAAGCCGAAGAACACCTGGAGGCTGCCTGGAGGCTTGGGGTTGGAGTCACTGCTCCTGCAAGTAGAAAAAATCAAATATTACAGAGATATGAATGAGTGAGGTAACGATCCGTTCTGCGGGTTGTTGAGGAAGATATCGAGATACGCTGGGAGCCTGCCAATCGATGGAGACAAGATGGTTGAGGTCTTGTAGGAAGTAGTTATGGTGTGGTTAATCAGAAGATTGCAACTACAGGCCGCATTTATTCCAAACTCCTTGCTTGACAAACGGGCCCAGAAGACGAGAGAGCATGTAGAATACGTGTTTTCGGAAGGATCTGTAGATGTTGAAAGCTTGGTGTAGCTGGTTGACGGCCAAAGGATGTTAAGCAAAAGAGTGGACAAGGAGAATGAGCGAGAAGTGGAAGAAAGGGAAAGACTTTGGGGTGGGGGGTGGTGATGACATTGGAGGGTACAGTACCGTACTTGTGTACTTGTGAACTAAGCCCCAAATGGGTCCCGAGTCCTGCTGCTGCTGCTGTGATTACCGTATCAGTACGGTACCAGGTCACATTGCCATGCATCGCCTTGGCAGGTGCCCAGGTTTGTTTGCCTTGGTGATTAATAACTAACAATAGTTTAACTAACTATGGTTAGTTATCCCCAGTGATATATGTCACTTGGATCCAGCCCAATCAGATGGTTCCGGGAGGGCATTTATAAGCTAATTATTGGCTGGCTGGCTGGCTGCAAGGTTAGACTTCTTACCCCGGCAAATCAGCTGCTCCCTTCAAGATATTAAGTAGCTTATCTCCGTACACATTCCACAGTACAAATCAACTGCAATCCAAACGGATGATAGATTCAGCTAAACTCACACAGAGTACAACATCTCTGCTATTTTCGCAATGAAAGAAAGGTGTCCCATTTGTTCATCCTTTATAAGTTTTTCAAGGAGTATTATTTCTGGCACCTCGCTAGGACATATGAGCAACAACTTTTTGAGCCAGAGAACACTCCGTATAGAACAAATAAGCTGATCCGCGCCATGAATAGTCATTATAGTTCTCTCCGTGGTAGGCAGAAATCCATTCGGCTTCCTGTTCTCTTTTACATTGCCTGAGGGAAACGGTCCCAAAAGCAAAAATGTCGATGACATCATAAACAACTAGCGTAATTCCCCACCGAGCAAACATGAGATCTTGCCAAAGACATCTTCTTGGCATCGCTGCCCTTCTATGTCATAGAACTATCTCTCTGCAGCGCTGCCACTACTCCTTTAAGGATATTCATATTACCCTGCCTTTATACGAGATGATGAGATGATCATCCCTGTGAAAGACATTGTCACTTCCTTGATCAGATAGAATGGCATCTTAGCAGATTTATAAAGAAGAGACTGATAGAGGTTCTATATAGATAGCTATCTGATCTGCTGTTTAGAAAGTCAGTGATTCATTTTCAATATATTAGAGTTACTGAAAAGCGTATACAAATCTCTATCTAACCATTCATATTCTCAATTACTTAGATGCTTCTTTAGTTTCTAGAGTATAAGCTTATCTGCTTTCATATCTAGTCAAGTCTTCTCATTTAGGTTCTTATCAATCAATCTATGTGATGATAGCACTGTTGACTTCTCATCTCAGTGTCATCTTCTTACAACAGACTCAATGACCAAACTGCACAAGGTAAATTTACATATAAATTCACAAAGATTGACTTGAACTGAAGAGAATAATATTGTTGAATGAATTTTAAATCATAAAAAATATAATAACTGAGCATGAAATTCAATTTGAAAATATCTATAACTTTGATAAATTAACTTAATAATGAGACTCTATACAACTATCAAGATTATTATTAATAATAAGTATTAGCTAAGCAAGCTTTTATAATTTAAAAATTTAAAATAAATAATGATTGTTAGTTAATATGTTAGACTAAATTTTACTTTTATATACAATTCTTTAATATCAAAATCTAACTATAGAAAAGTTAATTAAAAAGATTTATAAATACTTGAAAACTTGATGATATTAACTTTAATAATTAAACAATAGATAAAATAAAAAATTATAATAATTTATTAAATAATTTATTTTAATTATAAATTTTTATAAAATTAATATATAATTATTTTTTATTTTAAATAAATATAATATTTATTTTATTATTATATTTTATAATTTTAAAATATATAAAAATCTAACAAATAACTAATAAATTTATTTTAAATTTAATAATACTATAATTAAAAATTTTTAAGAAATTTAATTTAAAATAATTTTATTTAAATTTGATTAAAATATTAATAATATTATTTATAAATAATCTATATAAATAATTTATATGTAAAATTGAATTTTTTATTTAATAAAATATTTTAAAACTTTGTATAAATATAAAATAAAATAAAATAAAGTGAAATATTATATATATAAAAACTAAAATTTTAATATATTAAAAATTAAAAAAAATTAAAAAAAAATTATTAAAAAATTTAAAATTAATTTTAAAAGTATATAATTTTTAAATATAATAAGTATAATATTATAAAATATACTATATATTTATATTATCAATATGCTAAAAATAATTTATAATGTAATTAGCTTAGTATTTTATATAATTATGAAATTTAAAAGTGAATTAAAAATATAGATTATAGTTAAATGAACCAAATAAATAATGTAGCTAAATAAATGATAAATTACATTAACTATTCTATCATGCAGTAAGTCCTGAATAGTGAATATGAACACTATTAAATGCTCACCCATCTCAAAATCTTCGATCTCAACCAATATATGAAAAGTAGTCATATAGACTTAGCTGTTTTCTACACTACATGGCTAGAGTCATTATCTGAGGGAATAATCGTATCAAATAATCGATGGGATGTGGACTCGAAAGACCTAGCATCCTAGGGAACTCACAATTAGAAGACACGAAAATAAGCTCATACACATGTATTAGTCAAACGTACTCACTCATGTCGTTGGAACATCAGCGCGATTGAAACCTTGGTTAGTCGTCCGTAAATTAGACAATGGCTGCATCGAAGGCACATAGACATGGCAGATAGCCATGAAGAGAGTATAAAGTCCAAGTCGGGCAGAACAACAAGCAACTAACTAAGCAGTTACTGCCTTTGCACATAATCAAGTCTCGAGACCGAATTGCGCAAGGGGTATTGGGTGTAGGCACAACATGAAAATGGAAATCTTAACACATTCCTCCCAAGAATCTAAGATACCTATTATTAGCCACTCATTGCCTCATTGCCTCACCGCTGAGCAAGCCTGCGGCAATTCGCCTCCCAAAAGTTCCTGCATTCCGTATGCCCCCAAAGCTCAATCCACCACTCCCCAAAATTGTCATATACAATCCCATCAATCTTGGGAATCCTCTCATCTCGCTTCAGCCCACACAATCCACAGGCATGCGACGCTTTCAAAGCGCCGTCTTCCTCCATCGTGCCCGTCCTCACCTGAACATTGTCTGGTAACATAGGCACTGCGCGTCCACCGGCTGCCAAAATGACAGAGTTCAGATGACTGCTTCGTTTCCGCCATGCTGCATAAACCTCCACGGCTTCTTTCTCTTCCTTGATGTTCTCGCTTTTGTTCACACTGGTCAGCTTCATTCCTCCCACCTTTCCTGAGCGCGCAGGCCCGATTTTGGTGCTCTGGCTTAATACCGAGTCTCGTTTCCAACGAAGCGTACGTCCGGCAAGAACCCGTGCCATAACTTTCAAATCACTCTCTAGGGAAGAGGCTAAACTTGAATCTTGTGATTCGAGCTGTTTGGTTTTGACGGTTCTTTGGTAATATTCTTCTAGTAACAGAGGAAATAGAGGAAGAAGGATTGATGGAGGTGGGATATTCATAGGCCGATGTTGATATCCGCTAGATTTTGTGGCGCGAATCGGCACGGTACTCAAGGGACTCTGCATAGATAATGGGTTTTTTGATTCTGGTTTTATGGCCTCGACTAGGTTAGTCTGAGCCTTGGATTGTTCCAGAGAGGTTGTAGCAGCAGTATTTTCAGGCCAGGCCGCATCTGTGAAATCTCCCCAGTCAACATCATCATCTAAGGGGTCTGATTTCGATGGGACAGTGATATTACGGACACTCGGTTCGAAACTTGTCCACTCGGCATCCCAGGACTTCATGTCAGACGCCGCCGCCTCATCAATTGCACCCTGGTTATGGACCTTAACATCGGCAGGTCGATCAACCAATGTCTGCTGTTGAAATTTTGTAGTCGTACTTTTAATGATATTGAAAGGGGCATTTGAGTCATTCTTGTTGCTAATATCCCAGTCCAGGATGTCAACATTATTATTGTCAAGAGATGGCTTTGCTGACTCAAACTCCCCCCAATCATCCGTACCGTCATCGCTTGCAACATCTTCTGTAGATGCATCAAATAGCACATCCGTGCCCCCTTCGTCCCGCCAGAGAGAATTATCTGAGCGAAATGGTTCTATCTGAGCTGATTTTAGACCTGGCACGGGCGTATGAGATCGAGAAACCTGTTCACCATCACGCCTGCTTAAGATGCGGGCTTCTTGAGAGGTAGATAAGCAGGAACCCCAAGGTCCTCCTGTATCGGTATCTACGTCCAAAAGGCGCTCAGCTCCAGCATTCTCGGGACACGGCCTCTGAGATGGCCGAATTTGTTGCACAGTGTCGTTCGGCTCACCGAACGCAGCCAGGAGATCGGCCGACATGGTAGACAAGTCAAGGACGAGCTTAACCTCGAAATCAGGCGCGGTTCAGTATCGGGAAGTTTTAAATATGATGATGCCACGATATGGTGGCAACATGCAGGTTAATTTTCACCAACCTCATCATTGGCGGCGGAACAAATTCAATTAGAAATGCTATTCAAAATATTGAACTTCTTATTGATGGTTCCATGAAGACGTTGAATTCACTCTTTTTGTATTTTTCAAGACAAGTTGGAAGAAGAGACATTTTAAGATTTGGCGGGTTCAAGGGGCAATTCGTCGCGAAGTCACGGGTTTTTGGGATCTTAAATTAACCTCGCCAAGAGCCATCACCCAGCAACAAACATTGATGCTCAACAAGCCTGCTTAACAAGAGAGCAGGACACATAATTCAACGATGCGATGAAAGCTGTGGATGAAGCTCGGTAAGATACCTGTCATCCTTCCATTTCTCTTCCTTTTGAGTTAACCAGCGTCGCAGAAAACGGTGGGATTCCCTCTTCAACGCTAATTCTTCGTTGGCCGAGCTTAAGCAATCATCGAGAAACAAAGATGGCAGTAATCCGTGTGAAGATGGATTAAGATCGGTGTGTTGGAAGGTTAGCTTTGCTTCCAAAGTCGACAGACTGCATGATCTACCATAGGTCGGAAATCTGAACAGTGGCCAGGCGTTTCTCCTCCACCAAACCGTCGATACCTCTTCATGGCCCGGAAAGATATCTGATTCGAGAGCAGCATATCTGTCCCTGCGAGAACACTTCCTAAAATACATTAACCATCCAAATGACCTGCCGTCTACAGCAGACCCATTGGCGGAGGATGATGAGGTGTGATTTCGGCTTTTAGACCGTTCATACATATGTATATGCTGGAGCTTTTGCCTAACTTGGTTATTTCAACAGTCTCCGTGGCAATCCCTGCGACGAGATGAGGCGATACGGGCGGAAATACACCAGGATGTGGAGAGGTGCATGCAAGAGAACTATTTCTTTCGAGAACCCACGACAAAAGCACGGATGCTGGACATACTGTTCGTATATACAAAATTGAATCCCGACCTTGGCTACCGACAAGGGATGCACGAATTGCTAGCACCTATCTTGTGGGTTTTAGAACATGATGCAATTAACAAGGAGTTAATACAAACCACAACCCCTCCTGCTGATGACGGAGACATAATGCTCCAAGTCCTTGATTCGGATTATGTTGAACACGATGCCTTCACTATTTTCTGCGCCATCATGCAGACGGCAAAACTGTTTTACGAACAAGAGCCGAAAAGGTTCCCTGGGGGTCAATCAGATGTCTCACCCATCGTTGCCCGGAGCCGGTATATACATCAGGTTGTGCTCAGGGTGGTTGATCTGGAGTTGGCAAATCATTTGCAGAGCACGGATATTCTTCCACAGATATTTTTAACGTAAGTATCGGGGACAACTTAAAGTCTAGGGGTGCATATTAATCTTAATCGTATAGCCGCTGGATCCGCCTGTTATTCGGGCGGGAATTCCCATTCAAAGAAGTACTTAGTATTTGGGATATGTTATTTGCTGAAAACATGCGAATTGAGCTCATAGATGCAATATGCGTCGCGATGCTCCTACGGATCAGGTGGCAATGTAAGCGTTTACTTCAAAATTTAGTTGATGTTCACGGCTGATATCTCGATTAGTACTCGACGCGGATTACTCTTCCTCCCTACGATTGCTACTCCAATATCCGTCGCCAATGCCCTATAAACCAATAACATTTGTGGAAGATGCTCTCTTTCTTGAGCAAAACCAAGACTGCGAAGGCGCAACATTACTTATACAGAAGTATTCCGGCAAAACACCTGATCCAAACAAGCAATGGAAGCCACGAAGCTCTTTGACAGTCCCGCTATTCACTCCTCGCAGGAAGAAGTCCACAAGCCGAGAGAGGGGTCCGGTGTCCAGCGGTAGTACGTCTCCGAGCGTTTCTTCCGTACGAATTCACCAACGCCGTCTTGATTCCTTATTCCAGGACGTGTCGGAAGGGCTCCATCGCCGGACAGAGGGATGGGGCGTCACCAATGCTGTCCGAGGCGCGATGGTCGAAGCTAGACGGAATATACAAAGCATCCAATCCAGCGCAAGCACACCACAGCTCCTGCAGACTGAAAGCTCGAGCCGTGAATCAACCGACTCGCCACCCATGAACTTTGCGACGGAGCGTGAATTGAATGACAGGATTTCTGCTCTTGAGATCCGGAACCAGGCGTTAGCTAGAATGCTAGGCAACGCCATCAACGAGCTGCGCATTCAACAGGAAGACCCAAGCAAATCTACAACGGAAGCCATGGATCTTGCTCTGGCAAAAATACAATTTGTCCAGGTATACCTGGAAGACCCCACAATTCCCATTCCTGAAGAGACAAAGCCAACCACGTGGGCGGCAGTGAGCGCCCATTCAAGCGAGCCTGTTTTAGGAGAGCATGTGAAGGTAGCAACAACGGCTTTGGCCAAAAAAGAAAGCAACCCTCCCAACGGTGAGCAGAGGCCAGAAAAGAAATCACCTCTCCATCCTTTTACTGAAACAAGAGTCTCTGAAGTTGAAAATATGTCGAAACCGGTATCTTTTCGATCCCCTCCTACAATGCGTGCGCCACTTTCAGAGTCCTCATTTTCGTGGATGTTGGGTGATGACAAGCTGCGTTCTGGGTTAATCACATCCGTGTTGCCTCCTCCGGAGCAGAACCGCAATTCGGCCACGCTCTTCGGCGACGCTCGGGGTGATGGGAAGAAGAACGTGACTGGAGATGAAGAAGAGGGTGTACTCCTTAATCGATTACGCCGGGGGCCAGAAAAGCCCCGATAATGTCTTTTTGTATGAGTCCGGGAGCAGTAGGGTTGCGATACGAAACCAGGTGTTCGATTTTGCGTCCTCGGATCTACGCATTTCCCCTATTTCAACCGTTGATTTTCTATCATCTTCATAAACCTCCTTGTAGCGGGAATTGTCAGAACATCGGTATCACTCACCCCTACCGGATTACCGATTTTGTGACGATTTTCATTAGATATTCCTGTGTTTGATTGTCTTTTAGTTGTTTATGATTAGACATGCCTTATGTTCCCTAATGTCACGTACAGTCTGTAGTTAACTTAATATTTGTATATACTGCCAATAAGTAATGTTATTGACGCTAATCACTAATCCTAGGACGTTAGGAATGGCGTATAGAGCCTGGTAATCTCGCTGCTGTATGTATATAGATGTCAGAACATCAATCACCAAGCATCATTTACAGCAAGAAATCATAGCTATGTCGGTCTCAATAGCGGAATGGCTGACACGACTCCCACTTGGCGCAAAAAATCAACCATGAGGTCAATATCCGGATGGTGATCTGTCGCTGGCGGGTTCCCAGTTTTGGACCTCCATCTGTATCGACTGCATCCTCTCGCGTACACCCGTGCATATCCCGTTCCTCCGATATTTGTCTTTACTGTACGGAGTAGAGCTCAAAACGGTGGTTCAACCAGCATTTAAAATAGAGGTGTGTATGACGGCAGCCTGCATAGGCACCGTCGCTAGTGACAACGGCGCTTGATGATGGCACATGTTGCTTCACCCTTAGTCTCTCTCTTAAGTTTGTATCTCTCCCCATCCCCCCCCCATATGAGATAGACCAAAGGACCCAGCGCGGGGCCGCGGGGGAGGTTCGATCTCTGAATATTAATTATTCCTTATTTCTCTCGAAACTCGGATTGTTGCTTTCTTTTTATCCCTTTTTTTATCACTTTTTTTCGTATTTTTCTTTCGCATTTTTTGCTGCACGTTTTCAGTTCTGCCGTTGTGCAGAGAGCTGTTTAAAACCTCTTTGTTCCCCAGCCTTGGGCAAAAGTGGCGACTAGTTTTAAAATAATTCTTCTCGGAAATCCGCACCAAAAAACAAAGTCATTTGACGGTTGCAGTCAACTGCTTGTTTCTTATTCTCCTACTTAATCCATAGAGATTGGAGATTATTACAGTGTCTCTCCCCTCCCACGTTCTATTCCCCGCCACTGACGGCTGCTCTGTTTTGGTACGATCCACCCAGATGTTGATCCCACCAATATTTGGAAAAAGGATATGGAATGATTCCTTGGTAGCTTCAGACCTTAGTTAATCTTGCTTTCGGGCTATGCCAGATTGCAAAGTCATTATCAAAATCGACCCATCTACCCCACCTCATCATCGAACCTCTCGAGATAAAGACAACCGCGAATAACTTGCTACCGGCCATCCAACTCCTCCAACCGGAACATCGCACGAAACACAGACGGCTGATTCAGGACGGCCTCGTTCAAAGCCAGCGACGCCAGAAATAAATAGGAATTCCGTGGCGGGGTTTTCTCTTGCCGCGAACGCAGTGCGCGTGAAGTACCAACACATGTTTCCTAGGCAGAGCTATCAATAGAGCGGGCGGCCCAGATTTACCACGCCTAGCGTGGGTTTTTGTTTTAACTCCCAAAAGCGTTTGTCGATGGTCCGGCTGTCGGACATGGGGTCGTCAGGGCCTACATTTGAAGATCATGGTTAGTGCGAGCATGCTCTGTTCTTTTTCCCTGGGACTTGCGGTGCCGCAACATATATATTACATTGCCTCTCGAAAATCCAACTCTGCACTCTGGTCAGGTTTACGGTGCGGGGGACAACGATAGACCACGGGAAGAATAACGGTCATGAATAAGGAGATAGGGACACATACATCTTATTTCTGGATGTGTGTAGAGCCATCCTCAAGATCCCGCCAACGTCGCACTTCAGGATAGGATATTGAACAATTTTCCAACCAACCGCTTGAATAATCTGACCAAATCTCTAACTAAATTTCTTGTCTAACATATGAAATGGCAAACCTTTCACACCTGTGACTGACAATTTCTGAGACAGACGAGCTGAGCCTACCCTTTTCTTCTCCGGAGTCACCTCCAACCTTACCTAAAATGATATCGGGCTCCAGAAGCCTTTCACTGCGAACTACGGATGACGGAGACCATTTACAAAAAGGACACTCATTGGATGTTTGTTCATCGGAATATGACTTCATGTCAAGGTCCGCACTAGCTCTACATCATTTCTCTAAAATCCGTGGCATCTTAGGTGCTCATCAACTCTTCCTATTCTAACAGGTCCCCTCTACTCGAACATGACCACGGTCCCGGGCCCTCAGGTCTACCACGTATCCGACAGCAACCACTATCCAGGGTTCATACTCTACGAAACACGTCGGCGCCCTCGATCATCTCCCCCACCGCCCCTCACAGCGTGTCCTCCTCCCGCTCCCCGTCCATGCATTCCCCACTTGACCAAACCACTTCCAGCCTGGAAGACCTTCATAGATTTCCGTCTGAATCCCTTCACTCATTCTCATTTGCCCAGCAATCTGAAGAATTCTTTCACAATCGGCAAAATATACTAAAACGGTCACTTGATTTCATGAAAGGTCGTTTTGGGTTTGCCGCAAGCAATGTTCACCTCGCCAATGCTCAGGCCCGACTCAGTGGTGATACGGATATACAGCGTATGATGGAACTGGTTGCTAAGGCGAATCTCCTGGAACGTAATGAAAATCAAGACGAGCATACAGGTTTAGCAGGAGGACCTCTCACAGGTCCGCCCGATGTGGAAGGGGATAATATATTTGAGAAGGCTTTCTCAAATACCAACTCTTTATCTGAGACCACTGGCGAACCTTCTGCGGAAAATGGGACTGCATCTCAACAAATAAGTGGTGGGAAATTTTTAAGTCCTGTTGCTGTGGATTACCCAATATCTCAAAAAGGGGGCATGAGGTCTGTACCTTTATCGAGGCGCGTTAGTTTAAAGAGAACCTACACGGACCTGGGGTTAGTTTCACTCCAAAACAAACTCACGGATGCCCTAGATAAGCCTTACACTACTGGAGACATGATATCCCCAACTGGTACATCGTTCTATGGTCTAGGAGGTGGTGTTTCAAGTGTTCACACCCATAGCAGTAAATGGTCTCCTGTTTCACAGGATGTTTTTACAACAGAATCCAAAGCGCCCTGGACCATTCTTGCTGCCAATGATCTTGCATGTCTCGGCTTTGGCGTGACTCAAGGCGAGCTGAAAAAGCTGAGTATTCTTACCTTGGTCCAGAAGGAAAGAAGGCAATGGCTGGAATCTAAGTTACGAAAAATTCCTCCTGATCCTGACTCTTCGGGGAAAACCGATCCGCCGGTGAAATCGACGGTTAACACAGTCAATACACACACTCTGGGTATGGGGAACGGGGTAACGGCGCAATTGCTCAGTAAGCCACCTTCTCACGCAAAGAATTCTCCAAGAGCGACACCAGAGAATGGCAGTGGTTCTAGTTTCAGCTCTAGACTTGCCAAAAATCCGAATCATTTCCCCAACAAGTCTCGCGGGGTTCTGTTGTGTGGCGATGTCGTACCAATCCAGAAAAGGAACGGGGTAACGGGTTCAGCTAGTGTCTGGGTTATGGAAAAACGACAAGGCTTAATATGGGTTCTAGAAGAGATTGTGGAAAATACTCTTGATTTAGTCTTTGGTGATGACGAGCGACTGGTAGAAATTCGTGGTGATATTGAGCCCATTTGGGGTAAAAAGGTGCTCAAACGTGGAATACCCATTACTGATATAATCCCGAATATCCCGCAACGACAGCATGAAAATTCCAGAGATCACATTTTCGCCAAGATTGTTGAGTTGAGGTATTTTACCACTCTGACTCAAAACAAAGCGTCTATACCCATTACCATTACCGAGTTGTCCAGTCTATATCATCTACGCATCTCCCATTTCCCTCACGTTGCCGGAATCATGGTTGTGTCTCCAGAAACCTTGTGTGTTATCAACGCCAATTCGGTGTTTTCTGCTGCACTTTTTGGCCAGGAACACACCAAGGGGTTTGCGATTACGGATTTGATCCCACATTTTGATGAATACCTCAGCATCTTGACGGACGAAGACGACGTTTCATTGGTTGATGGGATGGTAATACCTGAGCATAGCTTCCGAAGGGCGAGGGCTATGTCCGTCCTTCGGGATGGCAAAGTGAATGCGGCATCCCTGTTTTTGAGACCCTCTGGCCTTCCGGCTCGTCACCGTGACGGAGCAGAGATTATGGTTGACGTGCAAATGCGTGTCGTAAAAAGCGAAACCATATTCCCTGGAAACTCAACAAGCGATATCGACGAGCAGCCGCCACTGGACAATGGGGCGCCGGTTGCCGTAACTGAAGTTGTATATGCGCTGTGGATAACCTATTCACGGCGACTTCACTCCATACTGCAAGAAAAAGACCGGCATCCTGAACCATTCTCTGCAAATATTGCTTCTGCCCCTCCGCAGCCTTCGCCAGGACAGCGGTCACCGATATTACCGCCAAATGAAATCCCAAGCAGTGATACTCCTACGATCGAGAACCAAAATCCGTTTCTATTGTCTCAGCGACTCAGCGAAGCTGCGTCAGAACCTCTGACAGATAAGCCCGTACAGCTAATACCCGAAGTGAGACCCGCTACTTCAGAGAAGGGAATAACAAGAAAGAAATCGATATCAGAATATGTTATCCTGGAGGACATGGGCCAAGGCGCCTACGGTCAAGTGAAACTGGCCCGCTGCAAGAGAAACCCCGAAAAGAAAGTGGTTCTTAAATACGTAACCAAGAAGCGAATCTTGGTCGATACTTGGACGCGGGACCGGCGTCTAGGAACTGTCCCGTTAGAAATCCATGTGCTGGATTTCCTGCGCCGCGACGGCCTCAAACATCCCAATATCGTCGAGATGGAAGATTTCTTCGAAGATGACCTTAACTACTACATAGAAATGGTTCCGCATGGACTCCCAGGTATGGATCTATTTGACTACATTGAGCTGCGGTCAAGTATGGATGAGAACGAGTGCCGGAATATCTTCTATCAGGTCGTCGATGCGATTCACCACCTACACACAAAAGCGCGGGTTGTGCATCGTGATATCAAGGATGAAAATGTTATTCTTGACGGGAAAGGGCGGATCAAGCTGATCGACTTTGGGAGCGCTGCTTATCTCAACAAAGGACCATTTGACGTCTTTGTTGGCACAATAGGTACGTATTTTGTCACAACATACAGTGTTGTCCTTTTACCCCTCTAATGGTGTTTTCACCAAGTAACCCCCCCGTCTTCCCCCCCAGCTTCCACAAAAAGAAAGAAAGCAAAGAAGGCATGCTAAACTAAAGCTACGAAAAACCACAGACTACGCCGCCCCCGAAGTCCTCCAAGGCAAGTCATACTGTGGCAAGGAGCAAGACGTCTGGGCCCTCGGAATCCTCCTTTACACCATCGTATACAAAGAGAATCCATTTTACAATGTCGACGAGATCCTTGACCACCCGTTGCGCGTGCCTTATCTTCCCTTCTCGGAAGATTGCATCGATTTGGTTCGCAAAATGCTCGATCGTGATGTAGAACGCCGACTTACCATTGAGGAAGTCATACAGCATCCATGGATGCGGCCAGCAGCTGTTACAGCTTCAATTGCGGCTGCGTCTGTATAGCGTGACGGAGGTTCGAAATGAAAAAGAGGTTGACTCTCGCAAATTTGCGGCCATTCAGGAGATTTTTGACTGCACAATGACATATTCACAAACATACAGATATATATCTTTTTGCTCGGCAACTACGGACTTCTCTGGAAGAAGCTAGCTGTATCTCGGCAAGTAAGATTACGATGTGTGGAATCGACTCGTTTCAGGAGATGCATGGTGCATAATGACTGCTCGAGCGTACCGGGTCGTATCATGCGTTGAAATCCACCAGTCAGGATGTCGAAGTGTAGATGATGAGGGCAGCATTTTTATTTTCCATTTCATCTGACTTGTCTCATTTTCATCTTTTCCACCATCTCTACCACCACTTTTATAGCCGCCCCCGTCACCGTCACCGTCACCATCATCACCATCTTCTCCTTTTTCTTCATCTCAGAGAGGCCCATGTTCCAGCCCTAGCTTCTTGAGGTATCATGCATGTCATTTCTTCCTTCCCTCACTTTCCCCCTCTTTTTTCCAAGCCTACGGATGAATAAATGGGATAGAGCCAAATTTCAAAATCCTTTTTCTTTCCTTTTTGGGTCAATTACCGTTATCATCCCTATCAATCATCATCATCATCATCATCATCATAAAATTTCTGTTATTACCGTTGAGGTTTGATACTAGTTAATTTTGATAGACGCGTATAATGTTTTATTTTATATGCGCGAGATACCAACAACCACTTGGTTCGATTTGATTCAATTTAATACATTTAACTTTCCAGTCTCAGCATAACCCATTACCTAAATTTGACACCTAGCAAAATGTAAAAAGTACGTATACTTCTCGCCTTCCCTACCGACGCAGGTTCCAAGCGGATCTCAGTAGAGGGGGCTGCCGAGGGAATCTACTTGACAGAAAAATCCAATCTAAGCTACCTCCACATGTATGTACATACATACACACATACAAGAATGACAGAAAATGATACTGTCTTTTTGGACTCTCAGATATCCTTCGTTCGCTCAAGATAAAAACAGGAAGAAGAAGAAGAATCACATGGGTTATGTAAAGAGGCAATCGACTTAAAATTAACTGGGCGGGTGACACACACTCTCAAGGCAAAAAACGATGGGGACAATGGCCAAAAAAGAAAAAAAAAGAAAAAAAAGAAAAAAATAGCGTTCCGTACTCAAAAGCTAGGGTCATTTGGTCTAGATCACAGGTTAATTTTGGGTGGTCGTCATATAAGTAAGAAAAATAGGATGGTGCATGGATGAGCAGTTGAGACATGTCCATGGCATGGAGAGTGATACTGAGATTGAGATGAGAGGGACAATAGAGATCGATCTTAACTACGCTTTTATCGTTATCGATAACTAGCGACAATAAGAGACGGGGGATGGAGAAGACGATGACTATTCAGCCAACTAGTCAGTAGTTAGATACAACCATCCTCCGCGGTAATTAACTAAATGTAACAAACTCTAAGAATGAGATGAATGACCACCAAACAGATAGGTAAGACATAAAGGGTGAAATAGTTTTATGTCTCCCAGTTAGTGAGTAAGTACTTCATGTGCTTAAAAACCGCTCTGTTTAGCCTTAAAGGTAGTTTAACGAAGTGTTAGAGATTCAAATACCCACTTCCCCATAAAGTGTTTCCACCAACCAACGGCTAACTAGTTTGAACGCTTGGACTAACTAACCATCAACTCTGACATCTGCTGAATTTCCCCTCTCCCCCTCTTGTTTTCCCTATCTCCTTCTCTGGACAATTAACATACATACGTACACACCCACAGCTACAGGCCTGCTGATGGTCGTGGTCTGCTTTGCTGTTGACATGACAGGTTCCACCTCCATCCATGGTCATCAGACGGTCATGATCCCCCCCCCCCCATCCTCTGACCCCACCAACTACTAACCAGCTGCCTCCTCTGAATACATGATCTCTCCCCATCCATCTCCACTTTCCTATCTCCCCCATTAGAATACCCATCTGTTCTGCCCCCTCTCCGCGTTTTCCCGTCTCTTTCGATCTTGGTTTTCTTCTCCCATCCCGTGGCCAAACAATACACACACTCATTAATTAAGGTTGACTCGGTTCCGTTGTTGGAGGGAGAGTTACTGACCTCATCAACTTCCCCCAACCGTCCCCCCGTCTTCTTCAGGTCTAACCACAGACTGACTGACCTCTCTCCCTCTCTACCTACACTTTTTCTCTCCTCAATTCAATCATCCTACCTCCATAAGTCTCAGCAGACTTGCTGGAGGTCTTTTCTCTTCACCCCTTTGGGTCGTTGGGTTGGGCTGCCTGCGTCATCTGGTTGCCAACCTCATCTCCTCGCTGGTTATGCCATGTTGGTGACTGCAGTAGTCTACCTGTGTCCCAGCTAAACTCTAGATCGTCAGTGCGCCCTGGGAGCTTCTTTATCCCTGTATTCTCTTTACACCTTTTATTGTATGCTATCGAGCTGGTTTCGATATACAACAAACCTATCCGTCGTTTCCGTTCCTCCTGGTATCCTTGCGCATCCCGCTTTGTCTCATCTCCGCGCGCCCGCCGGTGGTGGCTGTTGAAAGCCATATTCCGCACCTAATCTACATCCCCAAACTCGATCGCCCTCTGCAATATAACAAGTCAGACGGACACGACTCACATTGGCTTCCACGCTTCCCAACGAGGTGGGAAAATCTCCCGGTATGGCAACATCAATGAGCACTGGATCGTCAGGAGATAGCCAGCCAGGCACCCCTACCAAACTCAAGGGTCATCAGAGACTCCTAAAAGGACTACAGCGAATGTCATCAAGTCCTTCCCTTGTACGAACGGGCAGAAAACGTTCTTCTTCCCTTGGCTCTCGGCGTCTGGGGAATCCTTCCATGTCCTGTGTCTCTCTAAGCTCACTGTCATATTCACAATGCTTTGGCAACTCAAGCTCACCACAGATCTATAAGTGCCTATCCACAGAACCAAATAATATCCCCTCAGATAGGCAAACGGTGCAGGATGAGAACAATGCCCCAATCCGAATGGTATTCTCAGACACTGCTGTTGCTGCTGCGGCCAATAGCCGGCCCCAAATTACTGTACCACTCCCCGCAGATGTGCGGCCCACATCCAGAAGCGGCACACTCCCCAGTTCAATGGAGGTTGACGAAGGTAGCTGTGAAATGAAAGATGCCGTCGTGGAAACGGCGCCACCGCAAAAGTCTCACTTTGAATTCTGGGCAGATATGCCGGAGGAAATCAAAATGGCTATTTTTCAGTATCTCCCCGCCAAAGATCTCTTCAGATGCTCTCGAGTATCAAAATCGTGGAACAAGATGTGCTTTGATGGGCAGCTATGGGCAAGACTAGATGCATCGACCTACTACACTGATATTCCGAGTGAGGCGTTGGTAAAAGTTATTACCGCTGCAGGCCCCTTTCTGAGAGACTTGAATCTTCGTGGATGCACCCAGCTGGAAGACGCATGGCTGTCTCATGGAGAACGAATAGCTGATGTTTGTCGGAATCTCGCCAACATATGCATCAGGGATTCCAGGATTGACCGGAACACGCTTCATTTGTTACTCAGGAAGAATCCCAAGCTGGTCCATATCGATCTGTCCGGACTGGCAATAGTGAACAATTGCTCTATGAGAATCATCTCCCAAAGCTGTCCCAATTTGGAGCTCCTCGACATCTCTTGGTGCAAGGGGGTGGATGCGAAGGGTTTGAAACGAATTGTTGCCTCCTGTCCTCATCTTAGGGATTTACGTGTTAATGAGCTTTCCGGATTTGACAACCACCAGCTGCTGCAGCAGTTATTTGAAGAAAATAGCCTTGAAAGACTGATACTATCCCATTGTTCCTCTCTATCAGATATGAGCTTGAAGATCCTTATGGAAGGTATTAACCCGGAAATAGATCTCTTAACAGACCGGGCTGTCGTACCTCCGCGGAAGCTGAAGCATCTTGATTTATCTCGCTGCCGATCCCTGACCGATGTGGGAATCAAAAGTCTTGCGCACAACCTTACCCTGTTGGAAGGGCTGCAGCTTTCACAATGTCCTAATATAGGGGATGAAGCGCTCCTAGATGTCCTCCACTCCACCCCACGCCTTACGCATCTCGACCTCGAGGAATTGGACAAGCTAACTAACACCTTTCTCATTGAATTGTCCAAAGCGTCATGCGCTGCAACTCTACAGCATCTAAACATCAGCTTCTGCGAAAGAATAGGTGATACTGGAGTGCTGCAGTTGCTGAAAAACTGCCCCTCCATCCGCTCCCTCGATCTCGACAACACAAGGGTCTCCGATCTCACTCTCATGGAACTTTGCAGTCAAGCCCGCAAGCGCGGATTTGGTAACAGCTTCCCAAAACTGGGTTTCAGAGTCGCCGTCTTCGACTGCGGAAACGTCACCTGGGCCGGTGTCCGCGAAGTGCTGTCCAGCAACACATACGTCCCCCGCCAGCGAGCCATCAATCCCCCCACCACTGCCAAATCCCCTACCGAATCCAGCCAATCCCTCTCATCCACACCCTCTTCCTATACAACTACCACAGTCTCAACAACCACCTTCTTACCCCATACACCCTACAGCATTCACCCCATAACCATAACCGACGACCCGTCCACCTTCCCCCCCAGCGCCACAATCCTATACCCCAAAGAAATCATCGACCTGAAATGCTTCTACGGTTGGCAGATGATGGTTAATGAACACACGAAGCGCGTGCTGCGTGGGAACTTAGCGGGTGCTATGCGGCTTGAGCGCAAGTGGGCGGATTATATGATGGCGACTGAGGAGGCGGGGGCTGATGGGGCTGGAGGGGCTGATGCGAGGAGGAGGCGGAGGAGAGCTAGGGAGGTGGAACGCATGTATACTGAAGAAGACGATGGGGTTGAGAGTGCATATGGGCCTGCGGGGTTAGCGCCGTTGGGAGGAAGGAGAAGGAGGGCTAGGAGTGGAGGATGTGTGATCATGTGAATGAATTTGGTTGCAGGTTCTGAGTTGGGAATGGAATGAAATTTCTTGGGCATTAAGGAAAGCTTGCACTGCTTGGTCAAGTTTGTTTTTCATTTTTTTTCATTTTTTTTTTTATTTTTATTTTTTATTTTTTTTAACCTCTCTTCTTATTTTCCTTCTTTTTTCTTCAAAATTAAATTTCCAGGCTGGATTCCTCTCCATCATCTGTCTTGCTTTTCATCCTAAGTTTTGCATATATATATATATGGCTTATGCATTTACTCATTGTTCCCTTTTGACGCCTCCTTTGCCTATCATTGTTCCAGATGATCGCTGTCTCTCTCGTTGTATATTTTCTTCTGCCAGTTGTTGTTCCTAAATATGACTAGTTGGTATGCGGATTTCCGTCGCCGTTTTCTTCATTTCCTTGACGGCAGTATATGTGGGTCTCTGGAACTCGGTGATGGACGCCCTGCTTACTGATTACTTTGGCTGAATGAATGGATGGGTGGCAGAAGTGTTGTGCATACATCAATGCTAGCAAAACCGCCTGACTACGTGCTTCACGATTGCGAAGTACTTCGTACATATATTTAGGGATGGGTGGGGAGAATGACTGATCGGATGGTAGAATGGGATATATAAAAACAGGAGTGAAAAATTAGGATGATTTAGCTATAGGTTCAGCTGGTAACATGTGTACATGAGTGATTGCTGCGTCAGTGGTTGTTCTTTGATTTTCATTGTTACTTTTGTTTTATATATATATATATATATATATATATATATATGTATTTATTACTATTATAATTTCATTCAACATTTAATTATTTATTTATTTATTTTAATTTGTTTTATTTCTATTTCTATTTTTATTTTGAAATGTTTCGCTTTTGCAAGGAGTAACTAAGTGATGGATGTTGTTAAGGAGTTGTGATGTTAGATAGTGTCTTCCCACTCATTTTCTCTTCCTCCCTGATTGTTAGTTATCCATGGATTGTTCTTCTTTCGCCCAATGCTTCAATTCTAAATTAGGCGCATACATGCATATTCTTTCCCCCAACCAACCATTCAAGCCTTCAAGTAGCATGAAGAACAGGGGATGAAGGTCATCCTCAATCCAAATCTGGCCGGGTTTGCTTTTTCACCTTCACCCTCTCGCGCTCCTTTCTTTCAATGTTCCCATTTCCCCTAGTCAAGTTGCTTTATGTTTCACCCTTATCTCTTGCCGCCTGTTTGACATACTTGCATCACTTCGTCCCTGGAATGTTTGTCGACCCACCAAATTACATATGCGACCTGACCTACGTTCCATATCTAGAATGGAATAGGAGTCTTCCGCTCGTTTGCTCTATCCTTATTCTTCAGTATCCTTTTCTTTGGCTTTGAAGGAGTAAACAGGGGAGAAACTCCACCCTGACTGCCGCGCTGCTTCCTTTGATATATCTTTGGGGGTTAGGGGTTTGGAGTGCATGTAAAGTAAATTATGGGAGTCCATTTTCACAAACCCTGGAGTATTTCGAAAGGACGAACAGTGGCAATACAGCGGATAAGATGAGGTGGGTATGTAAAATAGAATGTAGATAGGATGAAATAGTTGGTAATGGTGTTGGTGAATCTTGTACTTTGATGGGTATATAAAATACACGTCTGACGTTCTGCGTACTTGGGTTCATGCGCGGATGCTGACTGAGTATCAAGGGAGGACATGAGATCAACAGTGGGCGTATGAACTTTCACCGATAATATGAAAGCTACTCCTCAAAGAACCCGCCATCACTATCGTCATCGTCATCGTTGTCATCTCTAGCAATATCCACATCCATTTTTGAATGTTTGGAGAACACCTCCTTGTTCTTTTCCTTTTTGGTTTTCTTTCCAAATTTCTTGATATCTGTTTCCGCCGTCGATAAAGCTCTCTTGCTCGGCTCATTCTCCCGTCCCATAACCGGCAGCGACAAATTTTTCGCAGTCTTTTTCTGCCCTGAAATGTCAATTTTCAGCCTCCCCTCCCGTAATAGGTCGAGAGTACCATCCTTCATACTTTGCTCTACCGCGTACCACAGCGGTGGCTTCTCTCCAGAATTATTGACGGTAATCTTTGGATTCTCCTGCTCCGGAACCGACTGCTTGTCACGGTGTTGGTTCGGGTAGAGGGATATATATTTCTCCGTCAAGGGGCTGTATATAGCGTAGTTGAGGTCGACCTCAGTAATGTAAATCGATTTTTCGAGAGCGTCGAGCTCTTGTTTGTTTGGATTTGATTCGGTGAGGGACTTTTTCTGTTTTATGAGTTTTGCCAGCTGTCGAGTAGCAGTTTTTCGTTCTATAGCGGGGATACGTACGCAAGTTAGCATTTTACATGGCTTTGCGAAGATAAAATATTGATGAATATTCGCCAGTGCGGTCTTGAACATACCCAAAAACCTAACAAAATGATATTTCTTAATCATTGCAGCTCGATTCTTTCGAGACTCAACAATTTCCAAATCTCTTTCATATCCAATCAGCGCTCTTTCTTTCTCTATTTTCACGCCAGGTGGGAGATGATCGGCGCGTTTTAAAAGACGTTTGATGTCTCTAATCCTGTTCCTGAGCTCGCCTGCAGAGGGCAGGTCTAGTTCGCGGGGACGGTTTTGCTTCGCTGATGCTCGTCCGGTAGAAGAAACACGGACATCTCGACGTGGGTGGGAGATTTTATGTGACTTTAGACGCTGTATCTGAGGATTGCTGTGCCTCTTGCGGGGTTTACTATTCAGGTCTCTTCCATCTTGGTGGTTGAGACGCTCGTCCCGTTCTGATGGGAACGCTCCTTGCGGATCGAGATCATTCCCTCTATGTCGCTTCGAAGGCACTAAAGGAATAAAATCATCTCCGGTATCCTTCCGCTTTTCCTGATTCCGACTTGAATCCATGAGGAGCTGTTTATCGCAGGCTGAATACAGTGGCTTTTCGGGGTTACCAACAACAGCTATAGAGTGGCTAAAATCAACTTAGATCATACGCCAGAAATGGAGTCTGGAGATCGTGACCATAAATAACCCAACACTGTTACTCCTAATTGCCCGGTTGAAAAGTGGGCGGAATCAAAGTCTTGTTTGATCCTCGGGACTTGCGATTCTCTTTCAAACAATCCAAAAATCACTGTCAACTAATCGTGCCCCGCGCACCCACACCTGATGTGGGTGCGCCACAGCGTAACGATAAAAACAGCGTAACGATAAAAACAGCGTAACGATAAAAACAGCGTAACGATAAAAATATGGATAATTAGAACTTCAAAAATTAATATCTCATCACCACGCTGCTAATCTATGATAATTAATTTATCTATATCATCTGTAGTAGCTGTATTATTCGCGAGACGTTCATATATATCATTAACCTTTTGTTGAGTTGGATCCGTGGCATTTTTCTTCAAAGCTCTCCCAACATGTTTGACTCCCTTATAACGTTCTTTTTCTGCTTCCTCCTCTTTACGTTGCGCGATCTTTCTATTCGCATCCCTGACAGTGAGTATACCTCCTACTTGAACCTGCCGACGTGTATTTTTAGTGCTGCGGCGTTTGGTTGCAAGGTAGTAACCCTCAATCTCACTCTCTCTTATAGCATTGAGTTCCGCCTGAACAAGGCTGCCTTGGAAAATCTTGTTCAATCAATTGCTCAGGTGAGGTGATTTGGAATCAAGTGTATCCTCCCATATCTTGCATTGCCTTCTTTGCCACTCAAATATGACGTTGTAGCTTCTCGATTGTCTTGGGTGAGAATAGCTGTGATGAAGCAGTATCTGGACAGCTTGATTGCGGCGAAAAGGAGTCTTCTCCATATATTTGCAACTCAGGGTAGTCAGGGACCTTTGAATCTAGCTTAAGCAGTATAGATTGCGGGTTGAATGGGACAATGCCACAATCCGCGAAGCCAGCCCGAATAGTAGAAGGTTGAAAAGTCTTTTTGCGGACATCAACTAGATTCTGTAGGAATTGATGTTTTTCATACTGCTCATATCCGTATCGCGCAGCTTGATTAACTGCCTTTGAATTGTAGTGCTTATACTGCTGAAAAGGCACGCCGTCTAGAGGTTGCAGTATATGAGTTGAATGTGAAGGAAATCCATATAGAATAATCTTGTGGAGATCGCAGTATTGTAGGAATTCTTCAGTGAGATGAGATCTATGATTGTCAAGAAGCAGCAATCGATGACTGCCTTGCTGACGTTTTTTAGAGGCCTCATTAAAGTGCTGAATCCATGCAAAGCCAATCTCATCATTGGTATAGCCAGTATCTGATGTTGCGATTGTATATCCGCCCGGTAGGTTGCTTTGTGTATACCAATCTTCAAGTTGGGTTTTGGATTTCATGATGATGAAGGGATCCAATACCTCACCATCTGCTGAAACACACTCAATCACAGTGATCAATCCTCGAGAATATGAAGTTATAACTGAATTAAAGTCTTTAAAAGCAGTAGTAATAACCCATTCTCCACGTCCTTGACCCTCTTGAAAGCCAATCTCATCGAAGTTGTAGATATCGCAGGTTTGAAACGCGTACTTTTGAAGTAAGATTTCCAAACAGTCAAATCACACCTTGATGTAGCTAATATCCTCAACAGCAATTCTTTTCAGATCCATTGCCTTCTGCTTAACCCTTTTATACCCATCCAAGCTTTGTATATATCGATAGGTCCACATCTTGCTGACCACGGGTGGGGAGGTTGAAGGATCAGTATGATGGCGTTTGAGGATGAGATTCACGTTATCTTGAATCTGCTCTGTGGTCGGCGGGCAATTATTTCTGTCCATATGAGCTATCCACTCTTTTAACGCGTCCTCCTGGCTCTTGCTAAGCTTCTTGTTCGGTGCAGTCTTTGCATTGCGTGTTTTTCTTCCATTGATTCTTGCTCGAAGACGTTGATAAGGAATGTTGAATTTGCGCGCCAGAGGTAGGATTTTCTGTTTTCAATTGCCATTATAGACTTCAATGGCACTCTGAATACGTTTTTCAAGATCATCTATCTTATTGGTCATGGTGGTGGTGATATATTAATATTTGAAGATTGATTAATGAAGAAGTTGATATTTTTATCGTTACGCTGTTTTTATCGTTACGCTGTGGCGCACCCACACGAGGTGTGGGTGCGCGGAGGCACGATTAATAACTAAAAGTGCCACGCACACTCCACTATTAGTGACCGCAGATTAGTCATCCTAACTAACTAGTTCGGGCCGTTTGGCGTTCCCACCAATAGCGCCAGCCAACCATAGGGGCGCAGCATCAAAGCTCCAAAGGACTTGAACGTCGCAGGTTTCGCGACGATACTCTTCATGGGTCTCTACTTCTCGGTGTTTCCGAGACTTCGCGCCTCGCTTTTTAAATTTCGCGGGCATAATGGCATTGGACCCTGGCTGGATGATTATACAATTTGTGTGATATGAACTGTACTGCCAAACGAGCAAAATGGAGACGGCAATCCGTTGGTCGCCAAACTCTACTACCGACGAACAAAGATTCCTCTATGTCGATGTATCGGGCAAATCATTCAAGTTATGCAGAGTGACCTCTGGAGATAGCGCTGGCTTGAACTACGATGTCCTTGCCTCATATTCCAAGATCCCTGCCTTCCGTGCCTTTGACTGGTCTCCAGTTGACGAATCTCTCGTCGCAGTTGGTCAAGCATCGGGAGAGGCAGTTATCCTTCGTATGGACGATGATAGCCAAAATCCAATTGTCTTCCCCATCAGGAATCAAAGGTACTGTAATGCTGTTGCGTTCAGCACTCAGGGGGGTCTTTTAGCAGCTGGGCTGGATAAGGTGAGAAACGATTTCTGTTTAAATATCTGGGATGTCAACCAGCGCCTCTCAGTGAGCAGTACCCGAGGTTACGGATCCGACAGGCAAGGTTTAGAACCTTTGAGAAAGCTCGCAAGCTCTGAGCCCATTACCAGCATCAAGTTTTTCAAGGACCAACCCGATACCTTGGTTACGGGAGTCAATGGCCAGTTCGTCCGAATTTATGATTTACGAGGTATGCGATCTTCACCGCCCTCAAAACATCCTTGCCTAGCTAATGACGTACGTATTTTTGTTGTGTATAGAGGGTTTAGGTAACCCATCTTTGCAATTTTCCACATGTTGTGTGCATAATCTAGCAATCGATTGGTTGGATCAAAATTACATTGCGTCGTGCAATCCCTCTGGTGATATTTCCATCCGTATTTGGGACCGCCGTTCAGGGTCTCGGTTTTCATCCGCGGCCATGGCCACAACGGACTCCAGCCAACTGTCGGCAGTCCTGGAATTCAAGAATGTCATTGACTCGAAATCCTCAATATGGAGTCTTCGGTTCTCTAGAACAAAAAGGGGTCGTCTAGGGGCCTTGTCAAGTGCAGGAGAATTCAAGGCATATGACATTGCCAAAGAATATATCTCAGAAGAAAACCGAACTTCACTTGAGCAAACGCTGGGCCAAGATTCCGCCAACATTTATCCAGAGCAACTATATACAAAATCTGTCCGAAACTTTCGAAATCCTTACTTTCCTCAGGACCAAAGTAATGACCAGTCGCGGAAAGTAGCAGCTTTTGATTTTTTAAACTTCAGCGCGTTAAACGGACCGACTGCTGTTACCATTTTGGCCGATAGGTCTGTTGCTTTGTTTACACTTCCGTCGCCGCCGTACCCCATGGATCTTTCCTCCCAGTGCGTGTTAGCTCGGGGGATGGTTGCAGAACATGAATCCAATTTGAAGTTTATAACCACCCTAACAGGACCTCCATCACGAATATCCCAAGTGGTACAAGGAATCCAAAGCCGTTCTGTACCTCTTACCACTCCATCAAATGATACTTCAGGTATTAAAACCGAAGATAAAACTAGTGGCAACCAAAGCTTGCCCGATCCAATTACCACCGATCCCGGTGCTATTCAATGTTTGACCAGCCGAGAAAGCTGGGAGAGATCACTGTCAGCGGGAACATTTGGTTCTCCGCTTACAGTTCATGATGCCTTGACATGGATGTCAGCCGCCCGGCTGCAATGCAAGGAGGGTTACCTCGTCGACAGTGAGAGGAATAAAGCATTAGTATCTAAGGATCCTGGGCTTCTAGAATTTTGGGATTGGGTAGGGCGTACGTCTCCGCTTTCTTTTTCCGTTGATTTGACAGTAGACTAATTAAATAGGCGCCCAAACAAACTCGTCCAGCGAATGCATGATAATCCATTCTGTTGACATGAACTATCTAGGTGTGTACAGCATATGGAATAATAGGCTTGGTAAGAGTTGCCCCTAACAAAAAGCTATGTTTCGGCCAAATTTCTGACAGTAATGTAGGCCAGAGTTTCAAGAATCGCATGCTTAGTTCCGATCTGGATCAAACTATCGATGTAAATACTCTCATTCTAGACCTCGTCCAGGAGCTTCACCTTCCCGAGGGCAAGGGATGCAGCTCTCGATTCCCTGCCCATCGTAAGCTGTGCCTCCACATTATTGGAGCTGCAGAGTCCACCGCGGATTTGGAGGCGACGGTGAATAAACTTGTCGAAGATCGACAACATACTAAGGCTGCCGCCATGGCTCTTTTCCAAGATGAGCCAAAGTTGGCTTACATGACCCTTAGGAGAAACCAGCCTAGTCAAGCGCATAAACTTCTCGCCATGGCTATAGCCGGCGCTACGAAGGGAGAACCTGATCCAGACTGGGAGGAAACCTGTGCGGAGATTGCGCAGGAGCTTACAGATCCCTTCGCCCGGGCTATTTTAGCCTTTGTGAGCAAAGGTGACTGGAATTCTGTGATTGAGGAAGCCACCCTTCCTCTAAGGTACCGGGTGGAGGTTGCTCTCCGCTGGCTCCCAGATAAAGAACTAGCATCTTACTTGCGGGACGCCACCATAGATGTGATACGCCAGGGGGATATTGAAGGGGTGATCCTCACAGGCCTCGACCATGCCGCGATGGACCTGTTTCAATCATACATCAATAAATTTGGCGACATTCAAACTCCGGGGCTCGCCATGAGCCATACCGTCCCACGATTTATTACAGATCTACCGAATAGTACACGATTCAAAGCCTGGAGAGAGACGTATCGACGGCAAATGAATTCCTGGAAACTCCAGCTTAATAGGGCCAGGTTCGATGTTGAATCCCGAAAGCTGGCGGCGACCTGGGATGGCAGGAGCCTGGTAAAACCTCCTCCACAACAAATTTGTTTAATATGCAACTATTGCACCCGTCCTCTTTCCCAGCAAGATGGAACCGAATCCCCAGTCAACCAATCGATCAGCATGGAGGCCTCGCATTCAACGTCAGGAAGCCCTCTGGGTACTACATCTATGTCAGGCACTGTGTGTCCAAAATGTGGGCGGCATATGCCCAGATGCGGAATTTGTTCATTGTGGCTAGGCACCATAGATCCCATGTCCAGAGCTGCGGTTACGAGCGATACTACGGGGAAACAACAAGGCAATGGGAAACCTCAGAGGGATGATGTTATGCAAAGATTCGTGGTCTTTTGCATCAATTGTAACCATGGATTCCATGCCAACCATGCGAGGGACTGGTTCCAAAAGCATAGGATCTGCCCTGTTGCAGAATGCAGCTGTATCTGTGATCGAGGAAGTTGATTTTATAGGATTCATTGGTGTCTTGCGACATTGCCGCCTACTTGATTTGGTTGGTATTTGATTTGTTAGCTAACTGAATGATCTGAAAGTCTTGGTTATGGAATTTTATTAGATACCCCTTGGACCCCTTGATACATCACATGTTAGTGGAGATTAATTTGGATTACATTTGCCCTGTCGATGGTAAAATGATGATGACGTAGAACGTCTGTAGAGCATTGTAACTAGAGGCAGCTATATATCAGTGACTCTTGACAGTTCCTTTCTCATAGTCTGGGAAACCCAATTTCCCAGATCTTCCAGGGGCATATTTGCCGTTGAAGCTCGTAGTTAATACGTCCCCCACCAATAGTTACCAACAACGAAGCTCAATAGACGCCACGATGCAATTATCATACAAGAACATACGGTCGGCAGAAATGGGGCTTGGAATTTCATTCTCCAGTATTCTCTGTATCAAAGCAACGCAGTGTACTGATTGCGATTCTACATGGCTCATTGATCGATGAAACACTTCCAACAAATCCCCTAACTCAAAACCTAACTCCATACAACAACTCGATATAGGAAAGCTGCATTTCTGTTAGGGCTATTAATATAGGGAAGGGAAAGGGCAAATCTCTTAGCAACCTGAAAAAGACGTCGTTTTCACACCGATATATTCCAGCAGGCTGGGCTTCTTAGAAGAACAGTGAAGTGGCCGTGCATGTCCCACTCCGGTCGTGGACAGGATCGGGGACGAGGATCGGGACGCTCTGGGCCCAGTCGGGAAGTGACTGTATCCAAAGCATTAAGTTACATCTTACGACACGCAGCGGAGAAAGAAGGTGTCAAGATCGATAGTCATGGGTATGCGAATGTGGCGGACGTGGTATGTTCGGCTTTTTATCTCCTTCACGTTGGGTCTCCGCCCTCCTCACCATGCACAAGGACTTCAGAAAGATATAAAAGAACTTGGCTAATGAGACTTATATCTATTAACTGCGCTACATAGCTAGCATGGAGGAAACTAAAATCCTTAAAGGTCACCCTCCCGGAAATCCTAAGCGCCGTCTCAACCTCCGACAAGCAACGATTTGGCCTTCTATATGAACCTCTTTCAAATTCCCCTTCCGCCACTGCGACACCCACAGACTGCTCCGCTTCAACCGCAAGCAGAACCGCGACCGCCCAAGCCCTGACCGCCAATGACCCTGAGCCCTCCCACTACCTCATCCGCGCCACGCAAGGTCACAGCATAAAAACTGTCGAAGCGTCCTCCCTACTCCAAAGGCTCTCCCTTACCGATGGCACTGATGCGGCCCCCTCCACCCCACCCCTCCCGGACACCGTAGTGCACGGAACCTACCACGGCGCTTGGCCTTCCATTCTAGTTTCGGGGGGTCTAAAATGCATGAATAGAAACCATGTACACTTCGCTACAGGCCCTCCGTTATCCAGCGTATTACCAGAGGGACGTGAGGGTCATGTTGTAACCATGGCACCTGGTCGTGGTGGAGTGATTTCTGGAATGCGAGCTGATGCCCAGATATTGATATACATTGATTTGAAGAAAGCGTTAGAGGCTGGAGTGCCTTTTTGGAGGAGTGAGAATGGGGTTATTTTGAGTGAGGGTTTGGATATGGATGGGGATGGGAGGAAAATTGTCGGGTTGGAGTTTTTTGATCTTGTTGTCGAAAGGAGGAATGGTCTGGGTGTTTTGTGGGATAGGGAGAGGGGAGGATTGATGAAGGAGACACCGGATTGGATGATGACGGCGAAGACTCCGAAGGGGGGAGCGGGCGGGGGAGAAAGAGGAAGAGGAGGTAAAGGCGGAAAGAGTGGCGAAGGCAGTGAAAAGGGGAGAGATAGGGCTCCAAGGCTTAGAGTGGAGGCAGAGACGGACGTTGAAGGGGCAGATGATATATGATACGGAGGATTGTGAACTTATATATAGCACAATCTATATGGTATTCTGGCCGAGATCTTCCCAGGAATCTATCTTCCGCTCCGCTCAGGAGGCACTATCTGAGGGATTCATACCCTCTACTGGGCTCTTTTATTCGAACCACTACACAAACCGTGATATCTCCACCAATCTGGTTTTCCCCTTGCAGGTTTCACATTGGTTTGATTCCTATTGTTAGCTACTCAGATTGAAATTATTGATGGACTTTCTGTCACAACTGCAACCCACTATATACACAACATTATACAGTGGTATCTAGATTCATATGCAGCCATGGAACAGCAAAATCGGTCTCCCAAAAAATCGAAATAGTAAATAATAAAAATGAAGAAAAAATTATAAAAAGTTGGGTCCAATTCTACTCAAGTGATGGTAGATATACACTATCACCCAGATCACACAAAAGAGGTATTAAATGAAATCAAATATGAGATAAATATCACATAATATGTGATGATGAGTTAGACATATTTTAATGATTTTTGTTTACCAACGCAAAGTCAGAATATATAGCAGTGTAGTAGTCAATCTTTAAAAGATTATTGATGCAAGTAAATTGTTGCTTTATGAGAGTGCTGTTAATACAGTGTAAAGAGAAGGGTCCATGAAAAGTTTCATTCTCCATTCAATATGAAAAGCCATATACTCATAAATAATTTAGGGATCAGAATTCAGTCAAGACTTAAAAGAGGATTTATATATACTCCGCAGGCTGTAGTTATCAATAAACGAAGGATATATAAGCCAAAAAATAAAAATAAAATAATGAGGGCAAATGAAGCGGGCTCTATAGAACTCGGTTAGTAAACGGCGTAAAGCCATGGATAGTAAATAAAGAGGCCCTTACAGAGAGGCATACAAGCTGCCAGGATTCGGTCCTGCATTGCCCCCTTAAAGGGTTTCAAATTTCTTCGCCAACTCCAGTAACGTTGCTGTAAGCTCATCTGCATGCGAAAGTTGCGGAGAATGATCACTCTCCATGTCCCTGACAATCCACTCTATACCAGTTTTGTCAATCAGCATCTGCTGGATTGATAGAGGAATACCTTTATCGTTCAAGGCCCGGATATATGCCACGCGTCCCTTGTACTCCTCGCTGTCCCACGACGCTCTTGGACATGGAGATGTAAATACTGTCATGCCCTGCACCATTGTCGATGCAGCTACTGCGTCCGCTAGATCCTTGCGGACCTCTTGGTAGAGGAATGAAATGAGGTCATTGCATCGAAGAACGTTGGCTTCAGGCTACAGATGGAATTCAGTAACATTGAACTAGAGAAACTGCAAGTGATGGAACTTACATCAGGCCTAATATGTGGTGGAAAGCTCCCGCCAGCAGCAGTCAAGATATCCGTTCCATCCCCTCCCTTTTGCAGCATCGACGCAATATGAATCTGTCCAATTACACCTGTCTTTTTACCCTGCATAGTGCGCTCTACCTTGCCCAAGCCTTGCGCGGCAGCACTGCCCGGTACACCACTATATGAATGCAAGATAAGGATGATATCATGCTCCTCGAACTCCAGTATGGGCAGAAGCATCCTATCCCGGATAAAAGTTGCGTCATCCTCAACAGAGACCCTTGCCGAGGCTCCCACGGAGGGAAGCAGAGCTGAGTAAGTGGGATACCCCGCGAGCTGGAGGAGATGAGAAAGGTAGCCGTAGTGGGTGGGATTCTGGGATCCAGCAGGGACGATGACGAAGAAAGGGCGTTTAGATGCCATATTTTTTCTTCTCTTCGCCAAAGTAAGAAAAGGGGGCAAGTTTAGAGTTGAAATTGAATGTTTATCTCAACTCGAGAGTAGCAAGATTCGAATGTGCCGTAGCTACAGGAGGATTGACTAGTTATATGTCTTTATCGCGAATGAGGTGCACAAATTATCATGTAACGGTCGTAGCAGGCAACTGCCCCAACCTAGCTGAGGTAAACTCTCCGCACCTGAATTTGATCCTTGTTCCCCGAATCTGTCAGCTCAAACCCCAGAAGCCTATTCAAAACAAGTTACAGTACCATAACAAAATCGTAACGCTCACTAAGGCTCTTGTGCTGCAGGCGTCAACTCCTGGACGATAGCACGTACATCCTCACATAGCTTTTTGTGCAGGTAGCACATTAGAAAGGTATATGGGGGTTAAAATGTTGGAAGACGAGATCCTGGTCGATATCGCTAATAGAACATGTGGTGAGAAGATGAGCGTCTTGTTGACTAAAAGCACACTGTCTCAGTGTAAGAGTCGGAAGTACCACTACCAATGGAAGGCCTTGACAACACGTTATCACAAATGTGCCCCCGAAGCATTTGTCAAGGGCTGACGTTTCCCCCGGGGGCATAATTCAAAGCTTGTTGGTGATGTAAACCAAAATTATAGTGATGGATAGTTATATTAACTCCCCAGCGTCGGGATGGACTTCTGTAACACTGCGACGTCATCCAGAGCGGAAATCAAATGAAGTCTAAGGTCATTTTCTCTCTATATTATAGATGGACTGAGGAGCTGTTGTGCTGAGTGTGACAATTCTCTGTATATCAAAGACGGCAAATGCTTCATCACAGACGCGATGTCAAGAAAATAGGATTTGAGCTGGGAAAGAGGGGCAGATCGAAGATAATCTTCAGCATCGCGCATCCGCTTCTGGTCATAGACCTGGATATGTTAATTAGCCACATGAATTGATCTAGATTGGATAGATCTAAGCAGGATGTATTGGTTCTTCGTATACTCCTCTGTTTCCCTAAATTCTCTCCTGAGAATTCAACACTAAACTCAATCAGAATGAAGGTTGTTGGGGCTGAAGGAATAGGCAATGTAGGGGTCCACTGTTGCCATAGACCAAGCTTCTTGATAATGGTGGCATTTACCTTGACATGATTGAGAGAATTATTAAGATAGTTAACTGACTTTGGCTGAGGTTTATTTTGAGAGACAATACTCTGTTGCCAATGCCGGTACGAGCTCTTGAATAAAACACTCATTTAGATCACTTCTACTCAATGCAGTCAAGCAGTTTCAGAGGGTTTTTTTTTGTATATTTATCAAGCTGATATTATACATTTAAGAGCTCACATTATTTTACCAGCAGATTGGCCAGATATTTAACATCTTTTTACTTCTTCTCATCATTGTAAGATGTGTTTATCAAGTTTAGATCTTTCTTAGCATCAACAGGTTTATCTTTTCTATCATGCGCATGTATGATATCTGCTTCAATTTCACTCTTGACAGATAAAGGAAGTAAATTTATAATCATCAATAAATGATTAAGATAATTATAAATATTTGAGAAATCAAATGATTTCTAAGACTGCAGTTATATTGAAAAAAATGTGAATGAAGATGAAATTAGGTGTTTGTGTGTGCTCTGGGCTATATTAGCAAATTCAAACCAATAGCTAGTTGACAATCTATAGTTAGATAGTTACCTGCATTTAAAAAGGAGCCTGAAAACGGTGAATGATTCATCACTGTTAAATGAAGACATTGATGTGACTCATCACACCCTTCATTCATCAAGAACAAACTCAAATCTGTCAACTCCAAATGATGTCACAAGAAATAATAACATTCAGCTGCAGACCTGCCAATTCAGCCGAGATTTTTACTTTGGCTTTAGTCTTCATCTCAATGAGTTAGTATACTTTAGGTGTCAGCTCTAGCCCTTTCTCTATGGTTAATCAATCACTTTATGGATTGCTGACCCTATGCTGAGAAACAGAGTTAGTTACTTACAGCCTAAGATTAGTTCAACTTGGGCATCAACACCAATCCTATTACCCCTCCTCAAAATATATCTTAACACAATCAGCCGTCACGGATGATAACTAAGACTAAATGCATTAGGCTTTGCATACCTTCTTTTAAAAGCAAAAATTCATTTCTAAAGACAGACCCGGGATTTGGGCAAGCAAGAGCATTCTGGTTAACTAAGTTAAGCAGGCTTACTTTTCATGACCTACGTAACCCCTCCGAGGAACCGAATACTCACTCTCCGCGCTGATTTCACCTGAAGGCTCTAGCGACAGCTGAAATGTACGAGAAATATTATTATATGTTACTACTCCTGAGTTCTAATTGTCGGTAAGGTGCTATCAGATACAATCCTCCAATTTGTACGGGCAACACTGCATAAGCGACCAATCACATAAAAATGCAGCCACATAAAAAAGGCACTGCAGTTAGGGCTGGTAGGGAGTAGTCCGCTCATTGGCCTCAGGACCTGGGTATCTTTTGAAAAAAAAAAAATAAAAAAAATAAAATAAAAAATAAAATAAAAAAAACCGGAAAAGGAATGAAAGATCAATTGGTTTTTCATAAGATAAAAGGTATATAGGCTAATCGCCTAGAATAGCTCGCTGGGAGTTCTCAAGAATCCTGCTTATACAGCCAAAACAGATCCTCTTAGCCCGTATAAAATGAGATCTTTATGCGAATAACATTCTATTCTGTGGTGAAGTGAACTCATCCACTCGTCTAACGCAGCATTCTTTTATATATATATATATATATATATATATATAAATTAGTGAGATTTCCTTAAAAACGTACGCCTCCGGGTCATAGCCTGTCGGATGGTTAATCTCCTCATATTGGAGGAGCTAGCTAATTTATACACGACTGTTCACGTGTGGGCCGGCCACCAAGGAGCGTCGACTAGTAACCATCCTACAATTTGGTGGGCGTAGGGTGGAGATTCACTGTTATCGCATCGAGCAGCAGCCTCTGGGAAAAATGGACAGAGATGGTAAAGACAGTGAGATGTCCCACATAATACATCTAGTTACACCATATTGACCCGAGGTAACCTCCTTTGGCAGGCTGAAAAAGACGTTTGACCAGAGCACAAGGTACCTGGAGCGCTATACAATAGGTCCCCTTCTGCATCATTCGCTGGCCTGTGTGTCTCTATTTAGATGTGAAGAATACACAATGTGTGTCCTTGGGAGACACAATGCTCACAAAACCTAGTAACTGGACACCTTGGCTTGGAAATGACGCAATACTGTCGGGTGAGTTCCACTCTCCACTCGCAACCCCCGGATCCTCCCGCGACCCACCGAGAATCACATCTGGGGAAGACTGTGGGTAACAAAATACAGGCAGTCAACTGCAAGAGAGAAAAGAGAGGGGGGGTGCTCGAGTGTTCCTGTACGCAGATTCGGAACGTAGAATAGACCGTGTGACACAAGGGTATATTTTCCAGGTCAAGGAACAATGAGGGAAAACATGTTTATTGTGTTTCCATGGATGCCAGCACATTGGAAATGATGTAATCAAGCCTGCCTTGAAACGGGAATGGTCCTAAAAAAAGAATGAGTTTGTCCTGTGGCTTATCAACTCCCTGCCAACAACCCAGCCACCAACAATAAGTTCACCGACGTAATCCACTACTCAACCTGCTCAACCATTTCATCCCCAGCCCTCATACTCTACTGGAAACATTCAATCTAATCCACCACCTTTAGAAATGGAATTCTCAACCAAGAGAAAAGACTCTTATTAGCTATAGAGATATCAGTCTGGGAAATTTTCATTTATATAAGCTGCTGCTAGAACATATAAGGTCTTAGTTATTACTTTATATATTCAGCTATGTGAATTCACAATATATTTAAATGTCAAGGTCCATAAATGAAAATTAACCATTATAAAAACAAAGACTCTAGTTCAGTAAAAAAGATTTAAAAATAAAAGAGAATGAATTTATTAAATCATAATCATACAAAATATAATTATTTAAGTTAAATAAATATATATTTATATCTAAAATTATTTATTATAATCAATTGAATTTATAAATTATATAATATTATTTTAAATTATTAAAAATTAGATTTTTATATAATTGTTTAAATATAATAATAAATATAACTATTATAAAAATATAAAATTAGAAATAAAAATATTTAAATTTTTATAAAATTAATTTTTAAAAAAGTTTTTAATATAATTTAAATAATATAATTAAAAAATTAATAATTTATTTTTATATAATTAAAATTTTATTAAATTTTATAATAATTAATATAATAAATAAATATAATTTTTATAATTTTTTTTAATATTATATAAATAAAATATAATTAAAATTTTAAAAATAAATATTATTAGATTTATTAAATTTTATAATAATTAATTCATAAATAAATAAAAATACTATAAAATATATTAATTAAATAATATTTATAAATTTAAAAAATATTATATAATTATTATAAAAATTTATTTAAATTAAAATTAAATATTATAAATAATTAAATTATAAAATTATTAAAAAATAAAAATATATTTTTAAAATTTTAAATTTATATTTTTATATTATATTTAATAATAAAATTTTTTATATATAAACTTATATAAAATTATAAATATTTTATTTATTATTTTATTAATTTAAATTAAATATATAATTTTTAAATTTTATAAAAACTTATTAATAATTATAATTATAATTATATAAATTTTCTCTAATTAAATTAAAATATCAGTTCAAAATTTAAAATTTAAAATTTTTAACTATACTTTAATTTAAAAAAAAAAGATAATTATATCTCATATATTAGTGATTTAAAGAGATTAGTTTTATCTATTCATAAATATTATTTATTAAAATAAAGATTCTTTCATAGTAGAAATCAATTTTTAATATGATTGAATATTTTAAATACATTTTTAATTCTATAAAAGATTTATATAAGTGATATTATATGTTAAAGCAACAGCTCAA